TCCTGCTGTACACATGAGGATTTTCAGTGTTGATATTATTCTTATGAAGAGTTGTTAAAAAACATAGAAGAAACTGAAGATTTTTTAGTATCAACCTTAAGGAAACTGATTTGCAGCTTCATATGATAAAATAATAGCCTTGAAAATAAGTTAAGGTGGGTGAATAGGAAGTGAACTTCTGTGTTACCAAGCTTTTGCATTACTGCAATGAAAAGCCATAGCTCTAGATTCCATTCTCAGTTCTATATTATCTGGACTAACAATGTGACTTGCAGCATGTATAAATATAGATGTACAGATGTGCGTTTGAAGGCAAAGTTAGATAATGGTGAGTGGTTTCCTTCAATATGGCCTCTGAGATGTAATGCTAGAGTATGAGGAGATTGTAACAATTGAGCACTGCCTGCTGCTATCACTTGTGTGATGGTGTTGATATTGGGGGTTCTTATTCTGGTATTACACCAGTGTAACTCAAGACTGGAATGTCCTACTCTGTCAGTGTTGGGCATCTGCTTCAGTCATGTAATGATGCTCATGCTTAAACACATGTTTGCATGTGTATATATATATTCATATTGTTTGTGCACATATGCAAGAATTCACTGGGTATCTGTTCAGACACTGGTGTCACACTTAGTAACATTTTGATAAGTTTAAAGCAGTCATATAGAAAACAGGAAACAACTGGAATGATAGCTTGACCAGTAAGTCTTACTGTGATCTTCAAAAGCCTGTTAATGTGCTAATATTTATGCTGATTCTGTAATAATTTTAAGTGGCAATGAACCTTGCCTGCAATGAGCCCTTCATTTCTTCATTGTTCACCTTTTAACTGATACTTGTGATTACAGGCAGGTATGGGGCCCCCTGGTCCACCTGGTTCTGTTGGGAAGATAGGTGCAAGAGGAGCAAAGGTAAAGATTTTCAAGGTACCTAATTGCAGCAGTCTAACAGCATGATTCATTCAAGTATCTGACTGAACAAGCATGAATTAATACTTGTGTTATTCCTGTGGAACACGTGAAGAATATTACATATTATAGACATTTTTTGATTGGATGGAAAAGTAAGTGATGGGTTTAAGGTAATCTTGCAGGTGTCAGAGCTATACTAAGAAATTTTTTGTGTTGCCATGGCTGCTGTTGTAAGTTCTCAATGGGGCCTGGCTTCTTACAAAATGCAGTAGGGGTAAGGCAGTACTGGCTGTTGAGCTTGTTTATCATTCCAAGAATCTGTCTAATCCTTTGAAAATACATACCAGTTGATCATAGAATATCTCAGGTTCTGAGGGATCATTGATTTCGACTTCCTGCTCTTCAAAGGACTACCTAAAGCTAAACCATATGACAAGAGCATCATCCAGATGCTCCTAGAACTCTGACAGGCTAGGTGTTGTGACCACCTTCCTAGGGAGCCTGCTCGTGTGACTGATCACCCTCACCATGAAGAATGCTTTCCTAGTGTCCAATATGAATTTCCCAGTTCAGTGAAGCATGGCTGCTTGTTGTAACCTTTTTGTTCTAAAGATTCCTAACCAGTCCAAGAAACCTTAACTGCTACGGTGTCTATTATACAGGAATTAATATGTTGTAAAGAACTGGATCAACATGAAGTTAAACACCACTAATAGGTGGTTCACATTATGATTCACTAATAATAAAAGTTCGTTATTGTTTCATTAATGAGTGTTGAAATGACAGACTTATTTTGTTCAATAAAAATAACCCATTTTAGGTGTTGTTGCATCTTTGAATCTAAAAAGCATAAATAATACCAGTTAGCTAATCCTTTCAGTCTCTTTGAAGGATTACTATGTTCAGTATATTATTACATTCAGTGACAAGAGAGGTATCAGAAGGTCAAAGTGCTACTATGATGAGTCACTGTGTGAAAATGAAACGGTGATAAAAATTAGGAAGAGGAATTTAATCCATACATTCTATTTTCTCAAACTATGTTCTGTTTTCTTAGACCGGTTTTGTGCTGTTTAATTTTGAGGTTCTTGTTAGAAGAAAGTTCATTAAGAAAGTTCAAACGAAAAAAGGAGCTAAAGAAAATAAAACATGCAAGAGACCTAAGAGCACAATGCAGACAAACTGCCTGAGAAATATTGTCTGCTATCAACAGACACTTCAGGCTGGTAGAATTCCAGTTTACATCCTGCGACCATTAATAGAAATGTTTCCAGAAAACTGGTAATTCTGTATAACAATGGGAATTTTATTGAATGAAGAAGGCCTTTGGGGTGTAGCTGTACGAATGCTCAGCACGTTCTGGTTTGCCGAAGTACTTTCCAGTTCCACCATCAGGAACCTTTCATGAAAGAGGGTCTGTAATGCTTTCAGCTGGCATCAAGTATAAACACTTCAGTCTAGCAGGCAAGTTTATATTTCAGAAAGAAGAATTATCCGGAATGAGACAAACTAATGCCCTTTATGTTTCAATTGCAACAGGGTGAACCTGGTGACCCTGGAGAGAAGGGCCCAGTGGGACCAGCTGGACAGAGAGGCATGCCTGTGAGTCTGTCTGCCCTAAATCAGGGTGCCCCTGTAGTTTTAATATCCATCCAACTGAATCAGTACAATTATTTTTCTTCCTTTTTCTCTATTTGATACAATTAAAATTATTTAATATTTATTTCTTTGTTTCCTTATGGACACCAGGCTCCTTGTGGGCCAGATTGAATATCTTTCCCCTCAGGTTGAGTATCTTTCTCCCTCTAGAAGAGAAAGAATATGTTAGAGGTAGGGCACAGAGTGGAGAGTTTTTACATTGTGTTGTGATAGCTGCTACTGTTTCCTACTTCGTCAGTCATAACAGCCTGGGCACCTCATTGTAATGGGCCATCTTTATTGCAAAATGGAATTGGATGTAAATCGAATCCTGTGTTAAAAGCTACCTCTTTATATATTTAACTTATGCAGGGTATGGATGGCAGAGATGCCTATGGTCCTGAAGGAAACAAAGGAGCAAAGGTGAGTACTTAGAGTCAGGATGTGTCTCAATCTTCATTCTGCAGTGTCAAATCAGCCATGCCCATCCATACTTGATTCAAAGGAAATGTAAGTGCATTTCTGAGGTTCAGAAAGAGGCTCAGGCTTCTCACAAACATCCTGGTAAGGATGAACAAATTCTTCAGCAAGATATCCTTTTGAGAACAATTCTCTCTTACTTTTTCCCTTGATATGTGTATATGGATTTGAGGAATTATACTTCTTGGAGTACACTGCATCCTCCCCTCTTCAGTCTGCTTGACTAGCCACTCATGTTGGCATGTATTGGTGAGGCAATACATGGACTTTTAAAATTTTTCATCTTTCACAGAAGGGATTTCTTGATTACCAAGATGAGGGTGGTGTTCTCCAAACATCCTGCTGCTTTAATAGGAAATATGGTCAGCAGTAAGATCTGAGGATTCATCTCTGGATGGCTGCATATTCAGAAATTCTTATAATTTCCTTCACAGCCCTGAAAAAAAATAGTAGTGAAATGTCTGTTTCTCTAAAAACATACAAGAATCCAGATAAAATGAAAGTACACAGAAGGGATGAGGTCAGAATCATGGCATCAGTGGCACCAATGGGTTAGTCCATGAGCAAAGTGGTCAGGGTTTTGGAAACAGCTGCAGTCCTCCTTCCAAAGAGTTTGTGTAGTGTTGATATAAAGCTAGTCCTTTCTGATCACTTGTGAAGCAGGAGTGCTCCAGTGGATCTCTCTGGAGGCCTATCTGTTCCATTCTCCCTTTTTGTGGGAGAAGCAGAGCGCTGCATAAGTGGCATAAAAGGTATTAAAGGCTTCCCAGGAGACTCTCCAACTTACAAGCTCCTTTTCCTGAAATGACTTATAATTTGATGCCTCTCATTATCCATTCCCTTTTCTTACCTTCTTAGCCCCAACAATTTCCTTTGATGGACAAGTTTCACAGGTTACACATCCATTATATGCAAGACTAATTCTTTTAATCTGCTACTTGTTCATTTCAGGGAAAGGTAAGAAAAGGTTTCTGGAAGATCTTATAATTATTAATTGTTTTAAAGGATTTACTTACAGCCCTTTTTTATATACAGAAGTGTCTGCTTAAGGTTTGGCAGGGCCTAAATTAAAATAATTAATAAAAACAACCAATTCACTGCAGAATAGTGATCCAGAAAGAGCTGCTCTCTCTGACAGCTAAGAGAACAGCATTTGGTATAGGTTTTACTTAAGGTTGCTATTATTTATACAGGTTCATAGTCACATTATACTCTTAGGTTTATACTAGGGTGTATGTGCATCTAGTTTTCTGGAAATTGTAGGATAAACTAATATGATGTTTGACAAGCATGAGCACTTTCATGGGAGGAAACTGTTAAAACAAGGACATACTTAAGTAGCATGAATTCTGATAGTTGCTCTAATGTCAAGGAAAGATACTTTTATTCTGATTGATCTTAGTGAGAGTTCCCTTATTTCTCATATATGAGCAAAGAACACACCAAAAACTGAAACAATTAATTAAGTGATTTCTAATATGCCAACAAAATACCATGGTATCACTATTTATTATAGAGTGTCCAACATTTTGAAACAGCATTTAAGCACTGAGCTCTGAATGTTATACTTCGCTTGTGATTGCTGAACATGAATTCCACTGTATCTTACTAGGAGGCATGAATAAGTTTTGATAAGACACTTAATTGAAAAACTTAATGCTCTTGAAAATTAAGAAGCTGTTGGAAATTTTTAAAATGCTCTTCTTTTAGATTAACAAGGTGTTAATCTAAAATGGTGTCACTTGAGACCAGTTTAGTTGCCGCTGTTACTTGAATGAGCTGGAACACTAATTTCAAAATTAGTTTTAGTTAAAAGACATCAAACAGCAAGCAGATCTCAAAGTTCTTATGAAGTCTCTGTCCTTTATTTTGGTAGGGAGAATCTGGATTCACAGGATATCCTGGTCCAGAGGTATGATAAAATCAGCATGCTTGCTTTTTTTATGTCTTGCTTTTACATTATTCTTGTTTGAAAGTGATTATCTGTCTTTCTGTCTTCTCTTTTCCTTTAAAGTTTTGGATTTCATTAATTTTCAGGGAGAAGATGGAGACCCAGGCATTCCAGGAGCTGAAGGACCCAAAGGAGTTAGGGGTAGAAGAGTAAGAATGATAAATCTGTCTAACTCTCTGAAGAGTCCTGTAAGAAAAGCCCTTAGTTCTTAAGTGTTTCCTCACCAAAAAAATTTGAAATTAGTTCCCACTCTGATAATTTCTTGTCATATCCTGGGCAAGAGATCTTGAGAGAATGCAGCTCTAAGTCTTTAGAGATGTCAGTTGCTAATTGTTCTTAGTCATAGTAATCTATCTTCATGTAAATGCAAGATCCAGCTCACAATATAGTTTTAGAGGTTTTTCTGTGCTGTACATTTGTGCAATTATAAATAACAATACTTGTATTTCTATTTTTAGGGTAATGCTGGCACACCAGGTTCCTTGGGAGATCCAGGGGACCAAGGGCCACCAGGACCTATGGTAATATTTTTTTAAATTATTTTTAAAAATGACTCTTGGGTTGCTTTAAAATTTGCTATTAGACTACTGGAATATTTAGTAATGTTTTGTTTGGCAAATTATGCATAATTCTTCTGGCAGTTGTATAGAATTTTGTCTTGCCTGTGGATGTGTGTGCACAAGAGCACTTGCTGTTGGAAATGGAACTGCAACGCTACAATGTAGGGCAGAGCTTCTTTTACAGTATTTGATATTGGCCTTAGTCTGGGAAATAACCGAGTAAAAAAGAAGTGTATACTAAAATGTGGAGCTGGAGTGTTCTGCTGAAAGCCAATGTTGGGGGTTGTTTGTTTTGTAGTTTGTTTTGTGTTTGGTTTTTTTCATATAAAAAGAAAAGCCATTTAAAATCAGATTTACAATTACAGGTACTTACTTAAACCTTACATTGACTGTAACCTATGACTCCTTTTATACAAAGTGTTGTCTTGATGTTCTTTTCCAGTGTCTGTGATGTGCAGTTTTTACAACAAAAAGATTTATTCTGTCTAAGTGAGGGATCATGGATTTCAGTGGGATTTAGAACTGACATTGTAGGCAATTAGGAAAATCCCCATATGTATCTATCTTTATCTTGCAGCAGTTCTTCAAATCAGCTCAGTACTGACAAGAAACAATCCCTACTGTTAATTATTTGTTAATTATTTTCTTGTTAAACTTTCTTAAGCTTACTCCTTTAGTTTAAATGTGGAACATTATTAATAACAGTATCTTTACCTGTGTAACATGGCTTGTGAAATACATGCAACTTAGAAAATGTTTTTATGTTTTTTTCTTGTCATTACACTCTGCTGGTCAATGAATGTACCTGTCCTACTTTATTAAGGTAGCTCAGGCAGGTGGTGGATGGATGGAAGGTAAATTGGAGGGGGAAGGAATAAATATGGGGATAGGCTTGTAATTTGGGAATGTAAGGAAATATATGGTTCTGGTAAACTGTAGTGTTATGGTAAAGAGATGCTAAAGTAGAGATGGTGAGATGTGGAGTCCAGATTTTTCTGGTGTATATCACTGCAGCCCCCTGCGAGTCGCTGAAAATTTTAACTAGTCTTGCTACATATCTGAATTACACACATAATAAAAACTCTCAAGCTGCCTTGAAAAAAAAAAAGGTCTGAGGAGTAGTCTGCAACTCTGTTTGGAACAGGTCCACAGAAGTCTGTGCTAGGAGCTGATGCCTTCTTGTGTTTCAAATGGTTGTCAGGGAAACGCTGTATGCCTGCATTTTCTCTGGGATGCAAAATCATAGATGGAAATATGTTATCAGGGTCTGATTTTTCTGGACCTGTGTTTCATTTGTTTCAGGGTGCCAAAGGACCAATGGGCACCATTTTAATGGAAGTAAGTAATCACCTTACAGCTAACTGCATGGGATTAACAGTTTTAGTCTTCCATTTATAAATACTGACTGCAATCAGCACAGTTAGCTGTTATAAACCAGTATCCTTTTCAAATACTTGCCAGAGTAAAGTGAGTTCTTCTATTCTGCAAATAATCAAGGAATGAGACACTGTTATGCATATGAATTAATGCCATGTCCAAACTTTTACAAACTCTTGGACCATGAATATTCCTTTATCTGTTTCTTTATTCACATCAGTTTATACACCAGCTCAGATTTAGGGTTATGTTTCACCCTCTTGTAAAGGAAGGCATTTCCTCAGTAGCATCTCTTTTCACTGGGAATAGCAGGGCAGGATTTCATCAGAATCCTAAACCTATCCAAAATGAACACTTCTGAGTAAAGGTTCCATCTAAGCCTTGCATAGACAACCACCTGTAGACAATACTATTGTAGCTGTGTTCTATGTCCAGAGGGGACATAGAACCTGTGGACCTGTCTCTTCCTTATGTGAGTTGCTATGGAAATGCCCATTTTCCTATGGAAGTGCCATTGCCTGATGACCTTCTAGATCAGGTTATGGCACAAAATAAAGGCTGAAGAAACGGTTGCTTAATATTCCAGAGCAGGATTAAATGCCAACAGAGCATGTCTACAAAACCCCTTTGTTTCTGCAGCAGGAGGAGAGCCCCTGTGTTATATGAAATAGAGAGGAACTGGAATGTGTAATTCTGGATTTACTGTACTGAGAGTTAGGTCAGGAGCTAGGATGTGACCTTCAGCTCAAACTGATAGTAAGATTCCCAATCTGGGATGGTCTGATATTTGCCATTATTTTCTTTTTTTTGTTTGTTTTCCTCCTGTAGCCTTGTGAACTTGTGAATTTTACACGAAAGAACTGCCGTAAGTAGGGAGCATCTTTTATCTCTGATTCCACCTAGTCCCCCCTCTTAAACGGAATAGCCTCCACTGGAAACTCTGTAGACTGGTAGTTTGTGTCTGAGTTCAGTTTCATGATGACCTTGTTGTTAACTGAGAGGGATTTTCAGCAGGTGTATGAAACAGGCTTAAGCTTTTTTGCTCATTTTTCCTATCTGTCAATTACAAAACCCATAACAATTGTCTCTTTTCCTCATTTAAGACTGAATTAACTCTTAGGCATCATGCCAACCACCCTTGGAGAATTCTCTGAGAGAAGGTGATATGCAGTATTTATATATTGCTTGTCTTCCAGATTTGGAGTGTTCATTTGCTATCTGAATTGTGTGTACAGCAGAACCCAGAACAATTTCTTTAATTCTCAATCAATAAAATTGCACTATTTTGGGTATTTTATTGTGGAAGAGGATTGTCTGTCACTGAGAGATTCTGTCAGTTGTCTGAGCTCTGGATAAGGCTCTTTAGTGAAAGTAAGAGAATATGTCACTGTTTTAATGATAATCCAAAATAACTTATTTGCTCTCCATCTCTTCATTCCAGCTTGCTCATCAGGTAAGTCCATCTGGCCTCTGCATGTCCATTCTTTTATAGAGTTCAAGAAAAAACAATAATGTTTGAGTTGTGGAAAAATTCTCATTAAAAATGTTTATTTCAATACACAGACACATGTCCAGTTTACCCAACTGAAGTGGTTTTTGCCCTTGATATGTCTGAAGATGTTACTCCAGCTGCATTTGAGAGAATGAGGAATGTTGTTATGTTATTGCTGAAGACCATTAAGATCAGTGAAAGCAACTGCCCAACAGGCGCCCGTGTCTCAGTTGTTTCTTTCAATACCAATATGCGCTATCTCATCCGGTTCTCAGAATTCCAAAAAAGCAACTTGCTGCTACAGGCAGTCCAGAGAATACCACTAGAGAGATCCACTGGAAAACGTAATATTGGGGCAGCCATGAGATTTGTTGCAAGAAATGTCTTCAAACGTGTTCGTCAGGGCATCCTCGTGAGAAAAGTTGCCCTATTTTTTGCCAACGGTCCATCACAGGATGATGTTGCCATCAGCACAGCTGTGCTTGAGTTGAGTGCCTTGGATATTATTCCAGTGGTTATTGCCTTCAGTGAAGTGCCAAATGTCAGACGTGCCTTCTCAGTAAGTAGATAGACTATAGAAAATTCAGTCATTCATTTGCTTAAGATTTGCTTATTAGTTGACCAAAGCATGCTCTCAAACCAGTAAGTTCCACAGGAACTGTTCAAACCCTTACTAGAAAAGGCGATATTAAAGGTTACTATTTTAACAAAGCAGTGCAGATTCACTTGACTGTAATGATCCCCATTTCACCTCTTTCTTCACAGGAATTATTTATGACTTGTACTTTTCAGCCAAATCACAGAGTTTAAATAACGTGATAATTTAACTTCGTTACCTATGCCACTTCTCTTCTGAAGTGTGACATGTATTAATCATTTAATTAATGAACTGTGGCCCTAGTTTCTAGAAAAAGTAGTAGTAAAAGGCCTCGAGTATGCCTTTTTTTTTTTTTTCAACAGAAAATTAAATTAAGCAAAACCCATTTCTTTTGATAGCTGTATTGCCGATAGTACAGGAGAAAAGTAGCTACTTTAATTTAAAAATATGACTTTGAATCAAAAGATAGTTAGCAAAAAAACCAATCCATTTTACCAGGTACCAAAAGAAAACAATTTTAGGTTTCTTTAAGGTTTCAGAGTATAGATTCCATGTTCTCTCTCTTTTCAATTTATTTTTTTATCATCTGTGCTTGCTCAGTTTAAAATTTTTTGAAATAAAATTCCTTCTAGTTGGTCTTTCTTCAAAATTATCCTTATAGAAGGAAACAATGTTTACTTACATGTGACAAAAAGTGCAAAACTTGGAGGCTAAATTCTGATCCAGGAGCATCTAAGTCAGCTCTTTAATCTTTGTATTATATTTATTCTCATGCAGTGTCATGTCCGTTCGTCAATTCACATATTTCTCTGCCTGAGTGTTAATTTAGCAGAATGAAGAAGTTCTGTTGGCATATGAGAAGGAAGCTTATTGTTTATTCAGGATAAACAGGAGCAAGCAAATCAGTATTTTGTTTACTTAGTATAAGCAGATTATGAATCCGAATGCTTATGACAACATCTGGTATTTACAAAGGTGCCAGCTTCCCTTAAATCAGTTTTCAGAGTAGAAAAGTTTAAAAAATCTGCTTAGCAGGGAAAAAGACATGAAACAATCACAGCCCAGCTCTCCTTTATGGTTACAGCAATAGGAAGGCAACCAATCTCGCCATCACCACCCAGAAAATACAACCTCCCTTTTTCTCTCAGACGGACTTCTGCCCTTGTGGCTGAGAGATGGTTTAATGTTCAGGATCCTACCAGCCTCTAGGCACAGCTGCTTACTGACTTTAGTTAATTTGCCTTAAGAGCCTCAGCTTGGAGATCACTTAAAATGTCACTGCCACTTCCAATTTCTTTGAAAAGGCCTATCTGTAATATCTTCTATGACAGTAATCAGAAGTTAATTTTGTTGTGTATAACACACACAAAGCTTAAATTTAATGCAAAAAAGTAACCATTTCTTTTCTCACCATTTTAGCTGATCCATATATATGCTTAATTTCCTGCAATACCATGATATTTTACAGCTATTTTTATTTATCTTAGTCCACAAGAAAATGTGTTTTCTCTTTAAGCTCATTTGGGTGAGGTTGGGTGGTCAGTGAAATTGTATGATGTTGTTTGGACCTTCTTAGGGTTCCTGAGGCATTTCTGTGGTTAAATCTGCCACTTGGGTAAGATTGTCTTTCTTCAGCTGATCACAGGCAACAAGTTGTTGCCTGTTGTTAGAACAGGTTGTTCTAATGCTAGAATTTTCTCTCCCAATAAAGCATCTTCACTGTGAAGGATTTCTTTTTGTCCCAGAAACGCTGAGTCAGAAGAACCTGTCCTTTTCTTTGTAGCACCCTACTAAGAAAAGGAAAAAGGCAGCCCTTCACTGACAAAAAAAAAGAAAAAAAGGCTTCATACCTTTTACCTGTGCTTCCCCTATCTTTTTGATGTTATTTTTTTATGTCTGTTTTAAACAGATCGATAATGCTGGAAGATTTCAATTATTTGTCTGGGAAAGGCAACAAGATGAAAGTTTGGAGAATATCACGTATTGTACACTTTGCTTTGGTAAGACATTTTACAAATTACAGCTGTTGTGTTGGTCTTTTTACCCTTTCAGTAAGAAACCACATATATTTTATTTTGCAATGTGGTGTTGGGGAATTTTTACAATACCCCTTAAACCATTTGTGCTTAAATACAAAAAGAATTGGGCAGAGTTCCACTACCATAAGTGATTCTGCAAGGAGTCCACAAAGATGCATTAAGATCTTAATCTCTGTTACACTCGCACCAGCACCAATCACATGAGTAGTTCCAGAGTGACTCAGCCCAGTTCTGGGGGAAGGTGGCCCCTGAGTGCTTGAATTCCAGGATGGCTGTAAAACCGTGCTCTGGCTGTTCCTTGCCATCACCAAGAGAAAGTTCACTCCTTTGCAGGGAATTGCTCTGTCTCTGGCACTCCTGCATCCAGCCAGTTTAGGCCCCACCTACAATTGGGCCTTCTTGCCCTCCATGCCAGAGCATACCATGGTTACAGATTACTAGTGCTGAGAAGTTACAACCTGAATTTCCCCTTCATTGCATGGTAGCAATAAGAACCACAAACCCATGAAAGCTATTTTAATAGTTGTCATCTCCACCATATGAAACAAATTGTTGTATTTGCTGTTTCCTTTTTAACAGAAATGCATTTAAAATAGCATTATGATTCTGGGAATCCAGGCTCATTTACTGTAAATTCTACATTGGTGGGGAGGGGAATGAGAAGCTATTAAGTGATACTATCTCAGAACACTGAACAGTGTTCCAAGATGAAAAATAGTTTGTTCTAGTGTTCTTTACAATGGTTACCTATCAACAGGAGAAAAATTTTCCCATGAACTCTCTTAAGTTTTATCGTATGAACATATTTTGCTCTCATGTCTGAATAATTACCCATGGTATCTTAAAACCTTGTTCAACAAGACTAATCTCTTGTTCCTTACTAGAACAACAAGGTTTCAAGGTGCCAAACAGATAAATATTTTTAATCAAAATTTTAAAAATATAAAATAGATTAATAGAATTGTGTGATTTTTTTTTTTCAAAATTATTGCTTTTGATGTACTGTTAAATAGTTTGCTGCCTATTGGCTCTTTCTCTCTAGATAAATGCAAACCTAGTGCCAACTGTGTGGTGCCCTTTTCTCGCCCTGTTGTGATGGATATGGATATCACTTACATCCTGGACAGCTCTCACAGTATCAGCAGTGAAGAGTTTCAGAGAGCCAAAGACTTTGTGAGCAGCATGCTTGATCAGTTTGTTGTTTCCTCACAGCCAAACGAATCATATGGAGGCATCAGAGTGGCACTGGTGCAGCAGGCTCCCAGGGGCTTCCTACCTGACAGAAATCAGACCCCTGTGGCCTTGGAATTTGATCTAGTCACATACAGCAATAAAGATTTGATGAAGAAACATATCCAAGAGTCTGTTCACCAACTGGAAGGGCCATCAGCCATTGCTTCTGCCTTACAGTGGACAGTTGAAAATGTATTCTTTAAAGCCCCCAGACAAAGAAAACACAGGGTCATATTTACAGTAATTGGAAGCAAAACAAGTACGTGGGACAAAGAGAAGCTGAAAGAGATTTCACTTGGAGCCAAATGCCAAGGATTCACCTTGTTCACTCTTGCACTTGGCAGTGATATGAGTGACAATGAGCTGATAGAGCTGTCAAGCTCCCCCACAGACCAGCACTTACTGACATTGGGCAGGGTTTCAACAACTGAGATGGTATATGCCCAGAGGTTTAGCCAGGCGTTTCTGCATCTCCTACAACGTAAGTAGCACACAATGGTGTTTACCTAAGTTATGGGAAGAAAGACTAATGCTGTGTAGAAAAAGGTAGTCAGGGTATACGCAGTATCATGCAGTTTCTCGTCATAGTACAGCAACCCAGTCTTCATCTTTAGTTTGCTGCAGATGCTGGACACTAACGGAAGTGCCAGTAATGACACACATCATTATATTCTAATGGTGCCTTAGGCCAAAGTCTTAAGCAATTTTTTTTTTCCCTCTTAAGTGTGTATTTAATGCGTAGTTTTGTTGGCTCCAATTTTACTAATGAAAGGCCATTCTTCAGCTAAGAGAACACAGTTATATTCCTTATGCAAGCCTACATTTGTCCTCTGGCCTTTGGCATGTCTAGATTTACTGAGCTGTTTATGCCTAATTAGTCTTTGGGGCAGAAAGAAGTTTAAACTTCTAGCAGATTAACCTCTCTTTACTGCAGTTGTTCTTCCTCTGTAAAGCAGAGAAAGTGCTTCTTCACTTTTCAAGACACATTCATGCAGATCAGCAGGTCTCAGGTGCTTTGAAATACAGATGAGAGATTATCAAGAAGGATATTGTCACTGATTTTAGATCCTCATCGGAAGCATGTACTTAGAGATGTCAAAGTTTCTATAGAAGGATGCACTGTGTATTACAGTGCCAATCACTTTAAATATGGTGTGTTATTGAAAGATGCAAACTCCAATCCACAAGCAAAACTTTAAAACTTACCCATGGCATCTACACTTTCCCCACAGAGGACATGAACAGTTATCCTTCACCTGAACTTCAAGAAGAATGTGAAAACTTAGATCAGGGAGACACACAACAGCAAGTGTCTATGATTGAAAGGTTTGGAATTATCTATTAAACATTTTGAGGGGCTGTCTCTGAACATACATTTTCTCCCTTTGTGTTAGTGTTTATATTCACAGTAGCTTTAATAGAAATGGAATCAGGACCAGTAATTTCTTTCACAGTATTCAGAAGGAAAGAATCAGATTAATTTTCAAGGTCATACCAGTGCTTAAATACTTTTTTTTTTTTGTTCCTCTTCTTGGAAGGATGCCCTTTCCTGAAGCTGATGAAACTGGTTATGGTTATGGTTTGGAAGATACTGAATTAAGTGAAAGTAGAGTCCTGGACAATATTAAAGAGACCACGACAGAACCTGTATACACAGTGCCAGAAATGAGATATAATTATGAAGAAAAAGAATATTTCACAGAGGAAGATGCTGAAGGACAAAAGCCACAAGAGTATGGCGAAGCTCAGGAGGAGAATGAGGAAAATTTAAAGGCAACAGGAGGAACCAGAGCTGCCTACAATGATTATGGTATGATTTTAGAATATTAAAATCTTTAATTCTGTAAAAAGTCTCTAGATTGTGAAGGGCCCAGCTGAATTTCTAGGCACTATGAAACATTTCTATTAATTTAATTTGCAAAAATGTTTTGTCACTGTATGTTTGTATTCAGTCCAAATTTATACAGTAAGAGTTTGTAGTTAAAAGGTGAACTGTAGATGTCATTATGACTTTAGCTTTGTTTTGTAACTTTTTGTAATACTACAATAAAAATTTCTAAATCCCCTTTATTAAAACAGCTGATAATTTTAAATTCCCAAGTTGTAGTATAATTACTAAGTTACTCCTGCTGCTAAGGTAGTTCAACATGGAGGAGTTAAATCTCTCTGCTATAGTTTGTTCCTATAGGAAAAACAGGATCCCCCAGCAGAGTTATTATAGAATCATAGGTTGGAAAAGACCAAGATCACCAAGTCCAACCATCATCCCTACTCTACAAAGTTCTCCCCTAAACCATATCCACCAACACCTATCAAAACATATATTCTTCATCTTTTTTACTCTCCTTCCTAACTGTCCATTTCTTTTCCATTTTTCTTTGCGGGTTTGATATTTGATGCAGTAAGTGTGGGAAACTGTTATTTTATCACTGACATTCTTTTAGCACTATGGAGTGGTTTTATTGTTCAGACTACAACTGGGGAGAATTCCTCTGAAAAAAAATGCAATGGCAGCTGCACAGCTTTGTATGTGGTAGCTTGTTGGTACAGCTGCCATCCCTTTGTTTTTCATCCTTCTCCATTCAAAGATGTTTCTGGGAATGTTTGGTATCCCCATCCCTGATGAGAGAGGACTAATGCTTTTGCAAAACTGTTCTAATATTGCATCTTTAATTGAAAGCTTATGTACCTGTGGGGATGCCATACATTGACAGTGCAGGACAGGCTTGCTCAGCACAGGTGAAATTGGTCCCATTGTCTAACTGCATCTACAATCTTGAATCAGTGCTCCCATTAGCCAGTTCATGAGCTCTGTGGTCACACAGAAAATTCAGTAGCTTGAAGATGTGTTACTGTTTATACTTTACAAAGAAAATATTTCCTCTGAGGAGGTAGTCAAGGTCATTGCATGGATGTGTTAAGGGAGACGTATGAACTGTTGTTCCCATCCTGAGTTGTCATTAGTGACCCAACAGTTTACTTGTAAGACCATATAACACTTGCTTTTTGAAATGTACTTTGTACTTGTCTATTGTTTTAGATTAGTTGTTTTGCATTTGATTAGAGGAGAAGATTATATAATTTAAAATATTTAGGTTGGATAGTTTAATCAGTATTTTGCTTTATTACTCAGTGCTTGTCCTTCAATGTCATACAGATACTAGAGTCTAGAGCTGCTCTTCTGACTTCATTTGAGTAACTCTGAGTTTACGTTGGTGACAGCTGATTAGATCTGTACTTACTGAATACCAGATTGCTACTAAGTATGCTGTTCTCACCTAGTTTTGGGCTAATTTATGCAATATTGATCTATATTACTGTGGCTCTTTGGCTAAGAGACTATTATGGGTTATTTCACCATCTATATATGTTCATTTATGAAACCTTGCTAATGGATACCAGTATAACAAGTTGGAATAAAGATGAGGGACATTCTGAAAAGCTTTGTTTGCCTGCTTTGTATAGACCAGGTACCATAATTTTATAGTTATTTTAGTTAAAAGTTTGTTAGAAGACTAAAGACCTTTTAGCATTCCTTCAGTTTATACCAGTAAAAATCTAGTTGTTTCAGACATTCTACTTAAACCAATCGTAAGAAGAAGGGCTTCAGACATATACCAGCACCATGGGTTTGATGAATTCTTAGTGGATCTTTGTGAGACCTTGAACACTGGCTACCTCTTTCATCTGCCAGTTTGCACTGAACACTACTTTTCCCTGAAATTACAGTGCTGAGAAGTGTGGATCTTCCTTTCATTAAGTCTGTGTCTGATTTCCCTTTTCCAGATGCATGTGAACTTGTTCAAGATAGTGGAGAATGTCAGAATTACGTTCTGAAGTGGTACTACGACAAAGAGAAGAAAATGTGTGGTCAGTTCTGGTATGGGGGCTGTGGAGGCAATAAAAATAGATTTGAAACACAAGAAGAATGTGGATCCTTCTGTATAGAGTCTTCCTAGTGCAGAGGCACTTGAATTACTTTTATTCTTCAGTTACATTATCAAGGTTAGAGATAAAGGGAATAATGGGATAAAGAGGCTGAGAGAGAAAGCTTTACATAGCCACTCATCTATCATATTTCAGTTGAAAGAAATACTTGATTGTGAAGTTATTATCTGTAACTTAATAGTAAAATAAAGCTAAAACTATTTCCCAATTCATCTGATAAAACCTGTTGAGTACTGAGAAACTTCTGTGAGCCAACGGCGATTGTTTAAAAGGGATAAAGGTATTGAAACTTGACTTTCTTCCACAAGCACCAAAATATGCACTTTTAAAATGTGCTGAATAAAATAAAACAATGTCAGAGGTTTTCATGAAATAACATTGGATGTGAGACACTAAAGTCAACATGTTTTGATGCATTTTCTTGCAGTAATCCTTCTTATAGAAAATACCAAAAAACATTTAGATCTCAAATGATACAGACTTAATAGAACTTAATTCACTTTGATTTAGAGGATTTCCTACCATAGAATCATTCTTTGCTTTTTTTTTGTTTGTTTCCTGAATAATCCAACATGTTAATCAAATCAGTTATTCTCAGAACACTGCCTGTGAGTTTTGCTGAATGAATGAAAGTGAGGAAATTTAATGTTCTTGCTGATTTGGTTATTTTTTGTTATAAGGGTTAAAATGAAGTGAAGATGCTCATAATCTTAAATTAAATTGTAAAAGGTTTCAGATGGCATCTTATATTAATTAGACCTACTGATACATAATAGGACCAGATTGTTTAGAGAGATAAAAGATCTGAAGCACATTTGAGGGAAAACATCTAGCTTCCTGGCTTTTCTTATTTCATAGCTCCTATGAAAGAGTGATGAAGGGACTGGAACACCTCATGTATGAGGAAAGGTTAGGAGAGTTGGGACTGTTTAGCATAGAGGACCAAAGGCTGAGGTGGGGTTCTTATCAATATATATAAATACCTGAAGGGAAGATGAGAGGAAGGCAGAGCCAAGCTCTTTTCAGAGGTGCCCAGTGACAGGACCAGAGGAGATGGGCACCAACTAAAACACAGGAAGTTCCCTCTGAGCATCAGGAAACACTTTTTACTGTGAGGATCACCAAGCACTAGCACAGGTTGCTCAGAGAGGTTGTGGAGTCTCCCTCCCTGGAGATACTAAAACATGGAATGCTGTGATCAAGAGACCATTGCAACTTAATGTTGAATTCTTGTAGTCACTCTGAAGAAACATTTGAGAACAAGGATGAGACCTGACAAAAGGTTATGTGAGGTCAAAATTGCATAAGAAAGATTGAAATATAATTGTTCTTTGCCTCTGGATGATTTAAATTCCAGCTAGAGGCTGCTCTCTTCTCTGTTCAAGTGAGTCAGGGTCTGTCTTCTAGATTCAGGGAACTTAAATCAGAGTAAATTCAGCTGATTTTTATTTAAATCTGCTGCTATTGCCAGCTGTGTTGTACAGCTGTGTAAAAGGGACCCAGAACCAAGCCAGAAACCTAGAAAAGTACTGCTTGTTGCTGTAACCAGCATGCTTCTCTGCATTTGGCTCCTTCCCTAAGTCTTACCCTGGAATCTCAATATAACTGTGTTTTCAGCTGAATTGTTGCCTTACTGTGCTTTTTTTTTCCTTACAAAGGGAATTAGACTTCTCCCTTTTCCTGAACGATCCGAGTTCAAGGGGAGCACTCCAGGACATGACTGCATAGGACATCTCTTTGCCTCTTGCTTTGCAACATGAGAAAGTGTGTTGTGCCCATAGACTTGTTCTAATGTCACACTAGTGTCATTCTAGATCAATGTGAAGACGTGCATTCTTACATCAAAACTGGGCTGGAGAAATAGAGAATTCAGATCTGTAATTTCTCTGATGCCTACCTCAGCATTCGATCTGCTGTGGTAGCAGATGGAACAATGACTTGAAGCCACCAATATTAAAAGACCTGTAGATGTGGCACTGTTTTTTTTTATATTGGTCTATGTCACCGTATTGTTGCTGGAATTTGTTAATGTGCACTCATTGTTTATGTGAAAAATTAATGCACATTTGTATCATTTCAGGATGACCGTGGGCAAGTGATGGAATTAGAGGAGAAGAGGTGCATCGTTTTCTTTCTTTTGCCTTCTTTTCTTGACCTAAAAGTTACTGGTGATAAAAATGAATTAATGTACCATCTTTTGTATTTAAGCGATCTCCTGGGGTTCCTGAGAAGAAAGGAGAAAAGGGTGACGTTGGGTATCCAGTAACATACTGTTATCTTTTATTGGTCAGGGTTCAGATTTAAGAACAATAGTGTGGCTGTTTCATGAAACTGTTCCTGTGAGAAATGTGTTTAATAAACTCTCAAGGAAAAGGAGTCGCCTTGTACCACAAAGTTGTTCGCACATTTTTTATTGGAATTCCTGTCAGAAGAGTTCTTATAGGAGTTCCAGCATCCAAAGAAGAGCAAGCTACTGATGAACAGCCAGTGGGTATTTTTGTAAAGAGTGTATATACCCAGTAAATAATTGCTCTGAAGAAGGTTTTTATTTAAAAGATAGTTTGAAGAGTAATTAGGTCTGTACCTTACAGTCTTCTAGGTGAGCATTTTCTCATATTTGTTGAAAGTTGGAGTATTTTCTGTGTATAATTAATATTTATTCAGCTAAAGATAGATGTGAAGCCTTCTACTTCTGTAATACCCTCACAGGTTCACATACATGAGATCAGGTTCTTTTATTATCTGTATTTGCCAACATCAGATAACTTGTTTTTCATAAAGCATGGAGTAGCCCTGTTGCCTTTCCAGTTACCTTGGAGACCGAAACAAGGTGTAACTTAGGACTTCACATGTCAAAAAAAGCTACTGCTTTAGGCACCTTAAATAGGCAATTGGAGGATTGACCATTAGTCTTTTCACTGCTCAGACGCCACTTGTGGGATGGCTAACTGAAGCAAAAAACCCAGCCTTATAGACACTGAACATTTTGGCTTGGTCCATGTGATAAAAACACAGTGGGAACCAAGGTGATAATTCAGGTGATCAGTTACTGTTTAGCTGCCACTATTCAATGCCTGCTACTAGGAATGGCAGGCTGGTAGGAAGTGACCATGCCAGGTCTGTGTGTGAACAGTTTGACCTTGTGGGAACAATGGATACCTGTTTCATGTGTGGAAGACAATACTCTTAAGTAACTGCTTGGTACCTCACTTCGATAAGAACCTGTGTTACCCTTTCTACCCTTATACATGTGCCCAAGGAGGCATTGGGCTGATTGCTTCTCATAAGACTCTGGTTATTCCCAGATGAGGCACCATTACATTCAAAACATGAAATGTGTGTTAGCACACGCCTTTCAAAGATGTAGTCTACAAAGTTCTTTGATTTTTTGAATGATTTCTGTTTCATTCCAATAAGTGTTTTGAATTTATTATGCAGTTAGAACAAAACCAAAAAAACAAACATGAAATAAAATAAAAGATAGAGGATAGTGGCTGTTTCTGTATTGCTTCTCCCATGTTTCTGGGTTTTTTGGGATAGTAGAATTGGGGAAGAAACTGTAGGTGAGACTATTTAAAAATGAAGGTGGATAGGTTGGAACTTTGGCCTATCTTCTGGCAATTTCTGCATGAAGGTAGTGTTTCAGGTTCTTACTGAGATATGTTCTGATTTTAGGGAAGTCTGGGGCTAAGAGGACCCCTGGTGATTGTGGCCAGAAGGGCTTCTGAGGAGATCCTGTATGTCTGGTTTTTTTTTCAAGCTAACTAGGGTCTGAAGGGTCTTTGATCAGAAATACCACTGAAAAAGAATGAGTACCACTGTCCTCACTGCCTTGTTGGTTGGCTTTTTAACCTTGTCCTAGAAAATACCAGGACAAAGGGAACTATGGGAACCAGAAGTAAGAATTATTCTTTTATCTGCCCTTTTCCATGTAGGAGCTTAACCAAAAATTTTGAAAAAGATAATTCAAAGTAGTTGCAAAATTCTCAATCCAACAAACTGTTTCTCTTGCAAAGTATGAGGTAATCAGTAGAGCAGCTAATAAAAATTTAAAACCTCTTCTGAGGTAGTTTCTGCCTTTTTCTTATATTTTAAATAATAAAGCTCAAAATTATTAATAGTCATGTTGCTCTTAATAGGGAATTTTGTAAAAGTACTGCTGGTAGACTTTAACCTCTAAAATAAATTACTATATTGTGTAAGTTCACTTAAGTATGGTTTAATTCTTATTCTGCTGTGTAGTTTCTGAAAGGATGTTACACTCTGTTCACTTGCTGTAAAGTAAAAATGTTAGCAAGGATTTTATAGCTGCAGCAGTTCATTTAGTACTGCCAAGTGGTCCTAGAAGAAAATGTGATTTGTGTATTATAAATGTCCTAGAAAATCATGTAATTTCATTTTAGACAGAAAGGTCTAAATTCAATGGCATACACTTAACATTAAAGAATATGTTATGCAGTGAGGGTGTAATTCTGTGTAAGAATGTAAAAAAAGATTGTGCAATAGCTATAAATTTTGTGTTGAGAGTAAATTATTTTTCTGTCTCATAAGCAATGAGAGAAAGTAGATAGGAAAAAAGAATTGTGACAAAGACATGGAGGATTTTTACATAAAGAAAATTGATTTAATATTCACCAAAAATAATGTGACCTCACAGAAATCATAATACAACTACATAAGGAGGATTTTATTAATTTAAAGGATCTATTTCTTCATTTTCTTCCCTGCCTTATAAAGAAAAACTGGTGCTTTAAAATTGATGAGGTTATGTTCCTCTAACGTGCAGCTGAAACTCATGGAGTGATGTCCTAGATTACTTTAGCCTATTAAGTTTTTATTGTGACTTACATAATTAAATAATGTTATCTGGGAGAAAAGACTTTCACATCACACAGTCTATTAAGACTGTATTAGGTACTGTATTAGGTACAGTGGGACTCATGTGGAAAATCCTGAAGTGAGACCGTGTTTCTCATTAAAACGGAATTATTTCTTGACATTACTGTGGTTT